TCACCAGGTGCGGAGAGGGGAAGAGGACACATCCAACAAGAGGAGGTTACCCGAGGAGAGAAGCCGCGACAATCTTGAAGATATCAATAGCATCTGGGTAACGAGATGGGATCTTCCAATATGTCTGTCTTTATTTTCATGTCTTAATGACGTTACTGGGAAACTCAAGGATGGTGTTTTGTGTTTTGTTACTTTGGATTGAGGTCGCCCTAGTGTTTATGGCATTTCATGTGAGAATCTTAAACTTTATCGTTGTTGATTTTCGGTTTTGACTTGTAAACATGGTCTGGGATGCTCCAGAGTAATCGGGTTGTGGTTTTAGTTATGGTTTGGTTTTCAAAAAGGATCGGGTTATTTCAACCAGCCTCAACCGAAAACATGCTCCTTCGCTGACTCGTTCTAACTACAACTTCCCAATCGACGGCCAAGTATAACTGGCAACCGGATGTAGCATAGGGCAAGCAAGCAATAAGAACTTATCGTACCACGGGGATCTAGCTTACCCTACTTCAGGTGTAGGGTTGGTTATCTAGCCAACCTATGATAGTGATTAATAAACCTAAGCTAACTAACCAGGACTAACCACTGACCTAGCTATTTACAAGGTTGGGAGCTCTCTTGGGTCGAATCTCTGATAATGAGCATATCTACCTTGTTGAGGTCTCGATTTATAGCCTTGATTAATATAATTGACATCAGCATGCCCTTACCTTTCCTGACTATAACATTCGCATCCTTCATGGACTTCTTCTCCACATGCTTCACAAACGAACAAGGATGCCACCAGTTCATTCTTTGGCTCCACTGAATTATTTCATAGTTGTTGAGTGATCCCTTTCGTGTATTCTAGAGTGTGGCGACATCATCCTACTTTTCTTAGACAGCTTTCAATCGTTTATTCGTTGATGGGTGCTTGGACTAGTTCTGTAACTACATTACTAGTGTGGTGAAATGCTTTTGGTATTGCAGTCCCATCATTATTTTGAAATCTCTATCGACCGGATGGTTTACCATCATCGTGGTGTCTTGATCAAGGACTTTAGTGAATTACTTTGCAATCTGCTCTGGTGTGAATCCATGATGGGGGCATGCTTAGATATACTTTTGGCATCTCCTCCAAGCATCATATAAAGTATCTCCTTTCTTCTAATAAAATTGAGCAATCTCCTCTTTAAGCGCACGTGGTAAAGGTTCCTAGTGGATAGTAGTCCGGCCACTACTTTGCTCCTCCTCCAAGTGAGAATGGAAAAATTTGTAATTGAATCCCATCTTTGGTAGCATCATCTCCTGGTATGGAGTTGATGATCTCTAAGAATGTCTTCGAGTGTTTCACCGGATCATCATCATTCATGCCTCAAAACTTTCCTACTTATTGCACCATCTGGATGAGTTGAGTTTGATCTCTATGGTTGTTGGTGGTAGAGCAATGCTTCAAGTGATTTTGGATGCTCTTGACCTTAGTACTCGTAAAGAGTTGCTGGAACGACCACTTGTCTTTGTCCTTCTTCTCCAACCATTCTTGGTGTTGAAGATGATCATTCTTCTCCTAAATCACAATTTTCTTCGTCTATGTTGTCCTCCTCTTCCAAGACTAGCTTCTCTAATTTTGTGGGGCTTGAGAGCTTTTCTTTTCCTGATCTAGATGATCCTTCCTTCGTCTTCAAGATGGGTGAACTTGAAACTCCTTCTTCTCAAAGTATCTTTTCCACGATCTTTAGGTTTTTAGTTTTTCTTCTGGTACTTACTCAACCCATATGAATACCTACAAAACAAAAATCAATACTAGACATAAGATAGTTAGATGTTGTTATATATGATTAGAAATCCCTGGCAATGGCGCTAAAAATTTGTGTGTAGAAAACAAACAAGTAATAAACTTAGGTGCGCCTAGGATCGTATTCCTCGAGATATTCTAATGCCTAACTACTCACACCAACCATCAACACATAAACAAATTGAAGAAGCAAGCAAGAAGAATAAAATTGTTTAGGGTTTTCGATTTATAGATGCATGAAAGTAAAGATGCGTTATTGTACTGAGTGTGAAGATGATCATGCAAACTAGGGCTTATTCATATCATTGAATTGATGGTCATCTATTGTAATGCCCTATCCCTTCCTCTATGGCCACTCTCTACCCGTGCATGCGCCTCTTACGATAGAGAGTTAACTAGCTAATGCATTTTTTTTTGCTTCATTCCATTACCAAATCAATGAAAAACAAGGAAGTTAGGATCACATATAGTTAATTGAGGGCTTGTATGAACCATAAATATAGTCTATAGCATCAATGATCGTCAATCATTTATACTACTCGAAGCATGGATGGGTGATCAATCCTCCCATACTCGTGTACATCAATGGGGTATCCCTAGAATGTAATTTCTTGACAATCTAGGTAATGCTAAGCACAATGCATATAGTAGGATACAATAGAATCACAAGCATTGATGGTATTAAGAGAGAGTATTCATACTATAGAAAAATCAATGACCATCATAAGCATAAAAAACAATAAAGCATCAATGATCATCATAGCCATCAAAAATTCATAGACAAGCACAAGCATGAGATAAAATCATAACATTCATTCGCGTAACAATAAACAAGATCACATCCTAATATAATCAATTTCGACTAGCTACATAGGGAATAAGTAAGGCAACACCATTGATGATGACAACATCTCCTTAGCTGCAGAACCTTATTCTTGAACTAGACTAGGCACTCTTATAGAGTGTTATAGAGATATGTGTGTTTGTGCAACCTTACTCTTACAAAGAAGTCATGTTCTCTATTTGTAACGGAGAATTCAGCCTAAAACAACCTGAACCTAATAGGAAAGATTCTCCTATACCTAGTAGACTTAGGAAACTTCATCAATAAGGAAAAGAGAAGGTGGCAGTGGTACGTCGGTTGGACCCGCCGCTCTGATTCGTCGTGATTTGGGCTCCTTGATCCATTAACTTTCTGACGATTTAGTCTGAAGCTTTGGTTAGCGGCGGTTGGACCCATTTCTTGGGGTGGAGCTCTTTATAACTTCATAATGGGCCAATTCTTCCTCCTATTAGCTCGTCTTGACATAATCTAACAGCTTCTAGTTGACTTCTTTGTCATTGGACCACTTGATTCGGGCCTAATTGTACACTTTTTATCCCTATTTTCCTTAGGCGTTTGAGGCATTTGCAGGTGGAAACAACCCCGGAGCTGGAAGTTGGACAAAAAGATGCAAAATCGGGTCAAAGGATGGAGGCATCCGCAGATCACGATAGAAGTAGATAGTTCACAGTCAGAAGGACCGTGAACTGAAGCCATCAACCGGGAACCGCCATTAGTCCAGAGCCATTTTCAGTCTCACTGGACTCAAGTCAGTTCACGGTCATAAGACCGTGAACCCAAGCCAGAGACCGTGAAGGGACTAAATGATGCGGTGCATTTTTGTTTGAGATCATGGTCCCCGCCATATGTTCACGGTCGTGAACTGGGACCGTGAATCGAGCTTGAGCGGAGTATAAAAGAGGCTTGAGCTGAATGAAGAAAATGAGAGATCTAGTGTGAGAAACTTCTTCTTCTTCAAATTTCTAGTGTGAGAAAGTGACGAACCAAAGAAGGGAAGAAGTTAAGGTTTCGTATTCAAGCAAGGTTTTGGGAATTACTTCCCCAAAGGAGGATCTCTTCAACACAAGGAGCAAGGCTAGCATCTTCATGATGGTTTCCCTTCTTCTTCCTTGTCTTTTCCCTTCTCCTTGCATTAGTCTCTTATTTCACTTGGGTGTTTGTAAACCCTAGCTACAATTATGTGAATGTTTGAATGGGCTGAATGATTTGTGTGAGGATGTGTTTTAATACAATGTTATGAGGTATTTTCATGAAGATTGATTGTGTTTGTGCATTTCAATATCTTATGTTATCTTAACTTAGGTAGAGGGAAATCCCCTTCTTTTGAAGAGGCTTGTAGAAGCTGGATTTCCTTGGGCAATCTTTCCTTCCTACTTAGATTAAACTAGGGCAAACCTCTAAATTCGTATTAGCGCCTAGGGTTGGTTGTATTTTGGCCGTCCGAACTCCGATTCGAGGGTCAAGTCTTAGCAACCCTTAGTCAATAGGTCAAGAGAGCTACTTTGGTAGCTTGAATCGAATTACCTTAACCTATTGACCGCGAGAGTGGCGTTTGTTCACTTGTTGCACTTCTCTACGGTTATAACCGTTTTACCACACGTTTTCATTCGACCCGAAAAGTCATAATTGCTAGCTAGGGGGAGCAACACCCGGGTGAAGCCTTCTCAATTAGTGTTAAATCCATTTACTTTTCAAAACGTTTTAGTTATATATCATTGTTTTCACCAAAAACCAATCGCTAGATAATGTTTCAAACAATCGAAGTAGTGGTACATGGACCGGACCGGGTTGATATTTAAACATACTTGGCCTATATTGCACCCAATTAAGGTTTATACTTTTGGCGCCTTTGTCGGGGAACAAACGGTCCATTATTACGAAAAGATTGTTTGGTATTAATCTATCTTTTATTTTTCGCTTTTGTGTGTTTGAATCTTACTTGTGTTAGACGAGTTGTGGTTCTTTTGAGTGTAGACCTGGCAATTGGTTCGGGTTGGGTAATTTTGGGTTGGTGAATTCGGTTATGGGCCGGATCATGTTTGGTTGGCTTATTTCGGGTCAAATATTATCCCAAACCATTCGGTTTCGGGTTGGGTTAGACAAATTTTCACATATGCATGACAATAGTTTACCTAACACATGTCAATTAACATATTCTCAAATCCTCCCATGCTAATGAAATGAAATACAAATTGCGCAAATCGTCAAAAACAATCACAAGAGTAATACTACTAGAAGAAACACACGATATTTGATTATCCTTAAACTCCGAACATGTCATTTAAATCCTTGTGTTTTTCTTAAACATCTCACCAATTTACGAGTGATTTTATCATTTTGAGAGTGATATATAAAATGGAATGGGTCTAATGGGTTGACTCGCTAACTCACCCAACCCGCCCCAAAAAATTACGGGTTATCGGGTTCGGGTCATTCGAATTTTGGGTTATAAAAATTTCTACTTTTCAGGCGGTTTCGGATCGGGTCAACGGGTCGGGTTGTAATTTTCCAGGTCTATTTGAGTGTGTGCGGGAAGGTGTATGACCTAGAGAAATCCGACACCTTTGGTGCCACTAGACGAGAATCTCAACCGCACTCTCCGAATCTGGGCTCGTGAGAGGGAGCTAGCGGAAGCAAGACGAAGGATAGAGGAGAGGGGACAACCACAAGTTGGTGCCAAAGTTGAAGAATTCGTAGTTGAGGAAGAAGTTGAACCCGAGGAGGAAGGATGTGAATACGAGATGGCGACTAATCAAGGAGCTCAAGCTGGAGCTGAGGAGCAACCGAGGACCATGGGCTACTATATGGCTCCACGGGTGGCGGATATTCAACCTACTTTCCGGCATCCACCCATGGTCGCCAACAATTTCGAGATCAAGCTCGCACTCATCACCATGATCCAGAACAATGCAATGTTTCATGGGCTTAGCAATGAGTCTCCAAGGGAACATGTCAGAGGTTCATCGAGCTTGCGGGAAGTTTGAAGATAAATGGGGTTCCCGAGGATGCTTTGAAGTTGAGACTATTCCCCTACTCCCTTGCGAGGAATGCATCTCGGGGCTCAACAATAGACCGACCCTCTCGATCACCTTGTCAGATGACATGCTCAACAAGTTCATGACTCGATATTGTCCTCCTTCCAAGATGGCAGAGTGGCGCAAGAAGATCACTCATTTCGAGCAAGAGGGGGATGAGTCGTTGAGGGATGCATGGGAGAGATACTCTGATTACTTCCTCCAATGCCCACACCATGGATTTGAGGAGAAATTTCGGATCGAGACCTTCTATGGCGGCCTCCACCAAGAGGACAAGATTCTCATTGACTCTTTATGTCAAGGGAAGTTGATGAACAAGACTCCACCCAAGGTGAACGAGTTGCTCGAGGACATGGCGACAAAATGATATGATTGGGGTTTAGCGAGGAGTGGTAATAAGAGTACCAAAAGAGGAGCACAAAGTTTAGGAGTGAGTGCTCCACTTGAAGCCAACCTTGACCGCTTGATTGATACTCTCATGGAAGACAAGAAGCCAGGGAAGAAACCGTTGATGTCTTGCGATTGGTGTTCTAGTACCAATCATGAAATTACGAATTGTCAAGTGATGAAGGAATCAAGCACCCCCCCCCCCCCCCCCCCCCCCCCCCGAGCAAGTGAGTTTCATCGCCAATGCTAGGGGAAACAACCCCTATAACAACACTTACAACCCGGGGTGGCGAAATCATCCCAATTTCTCTTGGTCCTCTCCTACCAACCCAAGACCCGCGGTTTCCAAGGATCGATAGGGAATTATCAACCAAGGCCTCCTTTCATTCAACAAATGCCACAATTTCAAGGCTCTAACTTCCAACAACCATTCCAAGCTCAAGGCAGTCAAGGGTTCCAACAACAACCCAATAAGATTTGCAAAGCTTGAAGACCTAGTGGCCACCTTCGTGAGCACGATCGCTCAAAAGTGTGAGAAGATTGAGCAATTTATAAATGTGGCAACAACAAAGTTTACTTCGGTTGAGGCAGGATTAAGGAGTCATCAAGCAAGCCTTCCAAACTTGGTGGTGCAAATTGTTTTGCTGGGATCCTCACCGAACTTCCTTCACTACCTTCCCAAACTATTGCCAACCCCAAAGATCAAAATACCGGGGTGAATGTTATCCAATTGAGAAGTTGGAAGGTAACTTCGAAAGTTGTTTCAAAAGAATTAACCAAAGAAGAAAAGACTCCTTCAACGGTCAAGGATCAAGAAGACGTGGGAGGAAAGGAAGAAGAGCCTAAGAAGGCATTGCCGACGCTACCACAAGTAGCTGAGTAGAAGCCTCCTCTTCCTTTCCCCACGAGGATGCTCGACGACCGATTGGAGGCGGAATGTGGTGGATTCATGGAGATGCTCAAGAAGCTGTGCATTACCATTCCATTCCTAGAAGCCATGGTGCACATGCCAAGGTACGCCAAATACCTCAAGGGGCTTCTCGCCAAGAATCCAAAATACGAAGACCTTGCTAAGTCACTTTAGGAGAGGAATGCTCCGCCTTCATCCTTAACAAGTTGCCAAAAAAGCAACTGGATCCAGGTAGTTTTACTATACCTCTTTGCATCGGACATCATCAGATAGAAAACTCCTTGGTGGACTTAGGAGAAAGCATTAATGTGATGCCTTACAAGATTTTTAGAAAGTTGCAATTGGGTGAATTAAAGGCTACTAGTCTTAGTGCACATTGGTCGATCACTCTGTCATTAGTCCTAGAGGTATTGTGGAGGATGTCCTAGTGAGAGTTGTCAAATTCTACTATCCGACGGATTTTGTTATCCTTGATATCAGTGAAGATTCAGATATGCCACTCATACTAGGGCGCCTCTTCCTTGCCACCGCCAAGGCCTTAATCAATGTTAATGTGGAAACTCTAATTCTGAGATATGGAGAGGAGCAACTCACGCTTTCAATTGATTATAAGTCTAAGAATGATGATGTGAAGGAAATTGACTCGAGTGGTATGATTGGAAGTGGATGTCAGCCTCTCAAAGCGAACCCCACTATTACTCTTGTTCCTTGTGGTGATGTGAAACATGAAATTGAGGAAGGCATCAACCCCGAAGGAAGAAAAAAAGGATCATGGAGAGGAAAAATGAATCGCGCGTGTGTCCGAAAGAAGGATAAGGGCAAAGCGAAGGTAATTGGCCAAGAGGGCCATCCTATGGAGCTTAAGTTGGGAGATGACAAACATCGCCACGAGACCGTGGTGAATCCACTATCGGTGGCTCCGCGCTCTCAAGCATGATAGATCCACAACGTCGAGCTTGTGACATTAAACTAGCGCTTGTTGTGACACAACCCAAAGTCAGTTTGTTTTCTTTTTCTTATTTTCTCTTCTTGTGTTTGAGTAACGAGTTCAAGTGGATGATTAGTTATCACCATGCCAGCATGTTGAGTCTGTTTGATTGGGTTTTGGTGTGTTTGAATTAGTGACACGGTTGATTAGGTCGAGTTTTGAAATTTTGGAAATCCCTTGTTCTTACTCAGTTCACGGTTTTAGCCCCATTATCACGATCTTAGTGATCGTGATACTAGGGCGGAGACCATGAACGAGGGTTGTTCCATAAAATTTGAAACACACCATTTTGGTCAGAGATCACGGTCTGGGCGTTATGTTCACGGTCTTAGCGATCATAAATAGAATCCCCACCTCCGGGCGCACCTTCGCCAAAGTTTTGAGCCAATTTGGCTCAAATTTATCCCGAGGTGGGCGATTTCCGACGAGCCTCTCCGGCCTGTTTTTATGGGATTTTTCGACACCCTCAACTCCTCCTCACCTTCCTTTTTTACCCTACTTGCGTCTCAAGGTCTGTTTCAAGCCCTTACTTTGTCATTTTTTTAGAATTGGGTTAGAAATCTTAGGTGAGGAGAATCAGTTTAATCTTGCTTGAATGGCCAGAATTAGGCAAGGGGTTATCTTGAATGATGTATAATGTGCTTGAATGGTCGAATAGGTTATCTTGAATGATGTATAATGTGCATGTGGACTTGATTGAGCCTTGGTGGGCTCTTTTTGCATGAGTTGTGGTAAATCGAGAAAATTGCCCACTAAGTGCATAGTGTTTGAATGTTGAGTTGAATCCACTTTTGTGAATGGTGGTTGGTGGCCATCGAGGCATGGTTTGGGTTTGATCCTATTATTTTGATGAACTATGAATCACCTAGAACTATATCTCGATGAGCTTTTAACGTGGTTGGGCTTAAATAGTTGGAATCTGATCTTGTGAAAAGCCTTCAAAGGCATAGGACCTTAGTAGAATTCTTAAGTGTGGGGGAATTCTTTTCTCCCAAATGAATTGAGATTGATGAATGTTTCCACGTATGGAGTATGATTTTTATGTTTTGCAGGATGGTTGATGCGAGTCACAGATACGTTCACTACTTGGTAAACCACGAGAAGTATGGCTCCATGTTTGAGCAGTGGAGGTACACTGAGACAGGACCTCACTAGGTGTTGGACCTGGACATGTTCAGGTGCCGGGAAGGATGGCTGGGATTCTCATTCATCCCCAGTGGAAACGTCTCTTGGTGATTTAAGAGCTCATCTATCGCGAGCACTGTGTGGAGTTCTACTCCACTTTCTCCCATGCGATCCCGACCAGCAAGCAGAACCGGTTGTACGTGGAGTTCATGTTGGGAGGTCGGCAACACGTGCTGACTTATGAGGGCTTCGCCCAGGTCATGGGGCTTGAATCCACGCACATGACCATGATGGAGAGGAAGTATACAGTTGACTTCCGAGACGACCAGGCCTTCCATGCCATCTGCCTCCAGCAACACCAGAACGACGAGTTCAAGGGCTCCAACACCAATGCAGTGAAGCTCCAGACTCCTTGGAGAATCTTGCATACACTACTTACGAGGTTGATCTTCCCCAGTCTGCGATCGGGGAACATGATCACCAACATGGGGTTGATAGACCTCCATACCCTGAATCGTCCAGCAGAGCCACTCCATCTGGGATCAGTAGTGGCTACCATGTTATCCATATGTCGGGGGCGTGATTAAGTGGATATGATGCATTTGGGGGGCATCATCACAGGCTGGCTCGACACTTCGGGGTTGATCTGACAAAGTGCTCCATTATCGATAGGACAGAGTCGTTTCCCATGGAGACGGTGTACAACCCGAAGCTGGTGCCCAGGGAGAGTGAGGGATTGAGTACTCAAGGGGCTTCGACCATTGGCCGCTCTAAGGCCACAAATTGACCCTGCTATAGTGGAGCCTGATCTAGAGGTCCCTCCTCCTAAGCAGCTGGCTACTCAAACTCCCGGCCGCCGTCATGCCGCACTACCACCACCATCAGCAGCATCATCATTCGTAGCTGGTCCTTCCTCATCTGGAGTCCACCTCGAGCAGCATGTGGATCGCCTCGAGGAGCAGTTGTTGGAGTCAACACCCAGCTTGATCGATCCACCAACTTCTTGGAGCGGATTGTTCGACGCAAGGGTTCCCTTTCGGAGGATGAGCAGTGACCTTCACCCCGAGAGAGGTAGCCGACGAGTGAGACATTTGGCAGAGCCGATTACTTTCGCCCCACTTCTCCACTTGAAACTATGCACTCTGTTATTTTTCTTTTCTTTGGTGTGTGACCTGGTACACTTGTGAGTCTTTCTTTCCTTTTATTGTGATGTGGAATATTGTTATCTGTAATAACCTCACCTCAAGTGAGAATGTGCGTGTGTTTTTGTTTTGCTTTGTCTTCTCTTTCAAGCTCAAACCTCCTACCCCGGGAAATTGTCCAACTTTCACTCACCAAGCCATGCGGTAACATCGTTCTACCCCCTATTTTACGCCGCTGAGGGCAATGTCGAGTTTAAGTGTGTGTGTGTGTGGGGGGGGGGTATTTTATTATTATGCTTGTGTGTGCGATTGAATACTTGGAGTCTTTATGTGTGCCCAAATTTGAAAAATTCGAGGGCTCCAAGAAATGCATAATCGAAGTGGCCGGTTTGTGGGTGAATCTTGTGTTTATTTGGCATTGACCTTGAATTATTGCATGTGATCGAGTGCATCCTATTATGATGGTTGAGAGTTGCATTAGGTGTGTGCACAATCTTAGTTCTCATGTGTGCTTAAATGAATGGATGTCTTGACTTGGTTACTCTTTTATCACAATTGCCTTGCACAGAATTTTGTGAAATTGGAATACACGAATGGGTGGCTAGGTAGCCATGTGAGTTTTGTGTTGATCGTCAAGTTCATGTGTGATAGGTCCCTCTCGCCATGATGTGTAACATTCACCATTGTCACTAGTTAGTATGATGGAGGCATAGGATTAGTCCACACCCAAAAGTTGATTGTCCCTAATCATTTTATCACCTAGTCAACCCCTTTGAGCTGTGTGACTTTGGGGGTTGTTCTCATGTTAGGAGCTTGTTTCTTGTGAGATTAATGGTGATGATAGAACAACCCCTCATCCTTTCTTCGTGTCTAAACTGTTGTGAGTCATCCTTGTGTCCCGGAGCTCTCACTCTTGAGCTCCATTGAGGTTCTACATAGGAGAATTTTGAGCGGTTCTTGCTAGGAA